CCCCCCCCCCCCCCGCCAAGTTATTTTGAGAGTGTGTGTGCATGAGGTGGAGAGGGGCAGAGCAAGAAGAAGAGAGAATGCCAAGCAGGCTCTGTGCTGAAATGGAACAAAACATGAGCTCATGACCTGAGCTGAAATCCAGCATCAGACACTTCACCAGCGGAGTCACCCAGGCATTCTTGTAGTTTACTAGTTTTATAGAGGTTTTTGGTTTTTATATTTTTAATGTTTATTTTTGAGAGAGAGAGTACAAGCAAGGGAGAGGCAGAGAGAGGGAGGGAAGGCACAGTATCTGAAGCAGGCTCTAGGCTCTGAGCTGTCAGCACAGAGCCCTGTGTGGGGCTCAAACCCATGAACTGTGAGCTCATGACCTGAGCTGAAGTTGGACATGTAACTGAGTCACCCAGGCGCCCCTGTTAGAGGTTTTTAAATACATGTAAGTCTAATTTTGTGAAAATAACAATTTATGATTTTTGTATTTTTTTAAAAATTTTTTAACGTTTTTATTATTGGGAGACAGCATGAGCATGGGAGGGGCAGAGAGGGGGGAGACACAGAATCTGAAGCAGGCTCTAGACTATCCGCAGAGTGCAACGTGGGGCTTGAACTCACAAACTGCAAGATCGTGACCTAAGCTGAAGTTGGGTGCTTAACCAGCTGAGCCACCCATGCGCCCCTGTATTGTTTAATTTAAAAGTTATTTTGCCAACATAGTAGACCAGTCACTTATCTGTAACATTTTTGCATGGTTGCTTTTCATTTTCTTTCCCAAAAGATCAAGGGAACAAATGGACAGGTTACAAGAGCAGATATTCTTCAGGTTGGTCTGCGGGAGTTGCTGAATGCCCTGTTTTCCAATCCTATGGATGACAACTTAATTTGTGCAGTAAAATTACTGAAGGTAGGTTTGACTTCTGTTTCTCTTGAAATTCACTCTTCTACCCCATTTGTATATGATTTAGAGAACGGACAGTAAGTATAATATGCACATGTATTCAAAGTTAAGTTTTTAAATGTTGGCCTTTTGGTTTGCTCTTGAATTTAAATATTGAAAAAGTAGCGTGTACTGGTTTTTTTTTTTTTTTAATAGAATCCAAATTTAGAAGCAAAAAATGGAAGTCCTTTACCTCCATTTCCAAATTTCCTTTCCCATGTGTGTCCTCATAAATAAGATCTTCTCTTTGTGACTTGCTTTTTTTGTGATGCAACAAAGATATTATATCTTTGGCACAAAAGATTGCCTCTTGAGCCACTTTGTATCCGTATGTGCAGTTGTATGTAGGTTCCATTCCACACACAGATTGGGTGGACCAGTGAGCATTGCATCCTTAAATTTGATAAACATCAAATTTCTCTTCTAAATATTACACCATAGTGTATTCCTACCAGCACTGAATGAGTACACTGCTTTCCCCATATTTATATTAGTAATGATCTAATCGATCATCTAGTTTCTGTTTTGTCATGGGTGATGAGTGAAAACAAAAATTTTATTTTGCATTTTCCTGATCATTAGTGAATTTAAGCATTTCTTCATGTTTGTTAGCCATCTTTGTTACTATGAATTACCTGTTTATATCATTAACTCATTTTTTTCCATGAAATTTGTAGTTTGTTAATTCAAAGCTTCTATACTTCATATTTCAAAAAGGGATCTGTTGATTAAAATCCTATAGTCTGGCTTATTCATACAAGGAATATACCATATAATCATGGACACACAAAACCTAGGATTCAAGTTCTGTAGTTTCTCTCAGTCAAGAAAAACAGAGGGTCGGGGCGCCTGGGTGGCTTAGTTGGTTAAGCGTCCGACTTTCGCTTAGGTCATGATCTCGCGGTTCGTGGGTTCGAGCCCCACGTCGGGCTGTGTGCTGACTGCCAGCTCAGAGCCTGGAGCCTGTTTCAGTCTGTGTCTCCCTCTCTCTCTGACCCTCCCCTGCTCACGCTGTCTCTCTCTCTCTCTCTCTCCTAGAAATAAATAAAAAATATTTAAAAAAAAAAAAAAAAAAAACAGAGGGTATAAAGATTTCCTGCCTGTTAGATGGTAGAAAATAATTGGGAATATTTAACTTGCCAAATTCATTTGGTTGAAAGAATGCTTGAACTGCTGCCGATCCTTCCTTAGGATTTCTGTGCTTCCTTGAATTCCTAATTTTGCTGATGCCTGTTTTTTTAGTTGACAGGGTCAGTTTTGGAAGATGCCTGGAAGGAAAAAGGAAAGACTGATATGGAAGAAATTATTCAGAGAATTGAAAATGTGGTCCTAGATGCAAATTGCAGCAGGTAGGCAGATGGCCAGTAGGTCTTCATTTCTTTTTCTCTGGAGGTTGTTTTTTAATCTGCTGTATATCAGAAGAATTAAATTCTAGATCTACAGAAACATTTTCTTTAAAGGTACAATATCTTACCTTTAAAGGCTTCTGCACACCTGGCCATTTTTGTTCAGTTGTGTTAATAGAAAAAGTTAAGATTTTCCTGTGGTAAAAAAGCAAAATGATTCACACTTTAAATTGTTTAGTAAATACTAGAAATCCAGTATAAAGTCCAGAAACATAAAAATGTGCAATAGCCACTACCTTTAAGAACCATATAGTCACAGGGGCGCCTGGGTGGCTTAGTCGGTTAAGCATCCGACTTTCGCTTAGGTCATGATCTCGCGGTTCGTGGGTTCGAGCCCCGCGTCGGGCTCTGTGCTGACTGCCAGCTCAGAGCCTGGAGCCTCTTTCAGTCTGTGACTCCCTCCCTCTCTGACCCTCCCCTGCTCACACTGTCTCTCGCTCTCCTAGAAATAAATAAAATATTAAAAAAATATATACATATATATAGTCACAAACATCAAGGCTGCTTTAAAAAGTACAGGAAACATCTAGAAAATCAAAGCACTTGGATGTACATGTTAAATTTATGAAACAAAGTTTTAGGAGTTTGTGATATTCTAGAGTCTGACGACACTTCTACACTTCTGGTGGATATACTTCACTCCTTTTTCACCTTCTGTCTGCAGGGACGTGAAACAGATGCTCTTGAAGCTTGTAGAGCTCCGGTCAAGTAACTGGGGTAGAGTCCACGCAACTTCAACATACAGAGAAGCAACACCTGAAAATGATCCTAATTATTTTATGGTATGCCAGTGTTTTCGTTTTAAGTTTCACTTCTTACTTGGCTCCAATTTTGGAAATTTCTAGATGAGTTCCATAAAGATATTCTCAGAATTTAATGCCTAATAACTTTTCATTGGCTTTGGGTCACATGGCAGCCAACAGACTTGGTAAATATGAGAAGAAATGTGGAATCCTCCAGGGGAAGGTTGGACTAGAGAAGGATCCATCCAGTGGCAAGGGAAATCAACAAGGCTTGGACCTGGTTGAGTATAGGGATTCTGGGAAGCAGTTGTTCCAGAGAATTCATAACCAGAGGCCCACATCTCAAACTATTACTATGTATGTTGTAGTAAACTAAGAAAATAAAAGTGGTCACCAGGCCAGTAATGCCCTTAAGCTCCCAACATAACCAAGCATAATGCAACTATGCAGGAATGCTTCTATAACCCCAATCTTGGAAATTCTTTTAAAAATGGTGAGGAGGGAAGAACCACCGTGAAAAATAAGCTGACACATTGCTGAATCACCGTGTACCACAAAACAGTTCATCACGAGTGTGACCGAGAATAGACAACAGAGTTAGAGCCATGAGAACTTGAGATAATAGAATAGAAATCTGAAAACCATGGACTTTCCCAGTGAAATGAAAATGGCTGCTAGGAAGTTAGGTTTTTTGCTTGTTCTCGCATTATCAGATGCGGATGAGTTACATCAGCAATGCTTCATTAATTAATGTGCTTTAAAAAATCAATTCGGAAAGGATTACATGTTTATCACTTTGATTCATCCTAGAATGAACCAACATTTTATACCTCTGATGGTGTTCCTTTCACTGCAGCCGATCCAGGTATGCTGTTTCATAGTCCTTCTCCCCACCACCCTATTTCCTGGTAAGCTAGTAGATTATAGGAAATCCTACCCTTACCACCACAAAGCTGTAGCTTTTTGAAACCATCCCTTTCTTCTAAAATACACGATAAATGTTTACCTCCTATAGAGGATTCTTTACAGTGACCACTTAGACCATTTCAAATGGAAAGTCTGATTCCATTTATAGTATCTTGTCACCCTGACAAGGAAAAGTTGGAAGAATCCCTCAGTTAAATGCAACCATTTTTATTTTCTATCTTCTCTAATATTTCATTCTTTCTGTAAGCTTTCAGTTGGTTAGGATAGAAGGGAAAGATGGTTCTAATTCACTACATAGTCTACAGTGGTCGTTCCTGTGGTTTACTACTCCCAGATACTAAGAATTAGATGGGTTTCATTAATAGTAGGTCTGAGTTAATTAAAATCTAAATCTCCACATACTTTTTCCAGAAAAGGGACATTTGTAGAAGGATTGCTTTAATTGTGACCAATTGGTTGCAAAATGAGGAAGAGAAGTTTTTCCCATTTAATACAAATTACAACCAGCTTGTTAGGAATTTTCCCATTTGTTTTCTCTGGATAGCAGGTGCTAACTATCCTGTGCATCAAAGGAGGTAGAAAGAATGACTCTTTAACCTTCAACTTTAAATTTATGAAAACATTCAGGGCACCTGGGTGACTCAATTTGTTAAGTGTCTGACTTTGGCTCAGGTCATGACCTCACAGTTTGTGGGTTCAAGCCCCGTGTCAGGCTCTGCTCTGACAGCTCAGAGCCTGGTGCCTGCTTTGGAGTCTGTCTCTCCCCCTCTCTCTCTTTTTCTCTCTGCCCCTCTTATGTTCTTCTCTCTCTCAGAAATAATTTAAAAACTGTAAAATCTGAAACCTTCAAAAGACATAAAAACCACAAACTGACCTTTTGATTCACTGTCAAGATTAAACCAATGTCATTTTGCCACATTAATATACACTTTCGGTGTTATTAAAGAAATAAAACTCTACAGGTGACTGGTAAGCCATTTTGTTCTGTGACCCCTTCCCTACCCCCCAAGGCCAGTCCTTCCATGGCTTCCCTCCCAGAAGTAACTACCATCCTGAAGTTGGGTGTCGTGTAGGTCTTTTTATTTGCGGTCTGTAAACTGTTTTTTCACACAAAGTATTAACGTATCTTTTTGTGTACATCCTTTGCAACTTTTTTATTATTTTTAGTATTTATCCGTGTTGAGGTAGGTATATGTAGCTTTAGTTCATTTTAAATGCCAAATACTGGGGTGCCCGGGTGGCTTAGTCGGTTAAGTGTCCGACTTTCGCTCGGGTCATGATCTCGCGGTTCGTGGGTTCGAGCCCGCGTCGGGCTCTGTGCTGACTGCCAGCTCAGAGCCTGGAGCCTGTTTCGGTCTGTGACTCCCTCTCTCTCTGGCCCTCCCCTGTTCACACTGTCTCTCTCTCTCTCTCTCTCCTAGAAATAAATAAAAAAAAAAAATTTAAAAATAAAAAATAAAAAAAAAAATGCCAAATACTGCTACACACAGAGTAGACCACAGGTTCTAGGTCCCTACTTAAGGGTGGCTGGGTGGTTCACACTACTTATTACAGACCATGCTATACAAAACTCATTAAGTAGTCCTTGTGCACCTGCAGTAGTTTGTTTGGGGGTAAAGAAGTAGGGTCAATGCATTATAAGTTCTGTGCATCTTGAACTTCACTGAATGTTGCTAACCTGGTTTCCAGTATGATCATACCACTTAGTGTTCCTCAGCTAAATGTGCAGGTTCCTGTTTCTCACTTATTACCAGACCTAATCACTGTCAGTTAGATTGTATGAAGTTGTAAACTTTTATTTCCTTACTGTGATAATTTTCTTTTCGTGTTTTTATTGACAGATTGATTTCTTCCGTTTGAGAATTGCCTGTTTGTGTTCTTTTCTCATACTTTTGTTGGATCATTTGTCTCTTCCCTGATTAATAATTCATTCCATAGCTTACAAAGGACCTCTTAGCTTCTCCCATATGTGCTTTCTTTCCATTATGTTTGCCTTGTCATATAGAAGCTTTGAGTTTTCATGTAAACGTAGCTGTCTTGTTCCTGTTCGAGTCTTCTTTATATTTAGGTCTTTAATCCATCTGGCTAATTTTTATATGATGGATGTGGCAGAAATTAAATATTCTGTATTATCTTGTCTCAGCAACAGGTGTTCAGTCCTCCATCCTGTCCTAGTTAAAGTGTCCCTCTGATGTGTACGTCCTCTGTAGACTTGTATCTTCCTCCTCTGTTTTACTTGTGGATCTTTTGTCTTAGCACCAATACCACAGTCATAATTACCCCACTGTACACCTCGCTGGTCTGGTAAGACGAATTTTCTTCCCTTTATTTTTCAAAGTTACTTTGAATCATTTGGTTCTTTGTTCTTTATCATTGTCTCATTTGTTTATCCTGTTTTTCTAGTGACTCTTTTGTTCACAGAAATTTAGTTTGGCTTTTCAAACTGAATTTTGTTTCTGCATTTTGTTCAAAGTATCATGATCTTTAAAATTCAAGTCTTGGGGCACCTGGGTGGCTCAGTGGGTTACATGTCTGACTTCGGCCAGGTCATGATCTCATGGTTCAGCAGTTCAAGCCCTGCATCGGGCTCTGTGCTAACAGCTCAGAGCCTGGAGCCTGCTTCAGATTTTGTGTCTCCCTCTCTCGCTGCCCCTTCCCTAATCATGCTCTGTCTCTTTCTCTCTCAAAATAAATAAAATAAAATTTCAATTCCTTTTTTAGTCATTCTAAACATGCTTATTTTTGTTTCACATTTTGTCACTTAATTTTAATCCTGTTATTTTTGATTATCACGCATAAAATTTTTTATTTTGATCTTTGTTGCAATCTGATATTTAATGATCTTAAAACGTTTTTGGAAATGATTTCAGTTTTACAGAAAAGTTACAAAAGTAAAAATTGCGCAAAGTACACCTATCCACTCATTACACAGATGTACCCTTGGTTAACTGTTCAGTTTGCTTTGTTCTGTCCACACTTTTTTTCTAAACCATTTCAAATTAGGTTCCATGTATTGTGGCCCTTTATGACTGCTCTTGCATTTTAACTACTTTCCTTCATGAAAACTCCTTACGTCTTGGGTCGTAGTAACATCTACCCCTGCCAGGAGACACAGGGTAAAAGTGATTTGGAACACGTCTTTATTTCTTGTCCTAGGGGTCTTTCATGTGGGTAGTAGAAATTTGAGGTGCAGGCCCATTGTTCGAAGTTCTCTGAGGAACCAGTGTCTTCGGAGTACTTTTGTCCCTACTCCAAACCCAAGAAGAGACCGGCAAGCTTCTTGGCCATCTCTCTTTGCCACCAGATTGTTTCCCACTTTATTTTTCTTGGTCTACCTTTTACTTGAGATATCCACCCTTGGATTTGTGCACGGAGAGGTGGGTGCGGGCATGAATTCCATGTCCCTGTTTCACAAGACCCCAGGACCTTGCTTTCTGACCTTCTGTGGGTTTTCAGCCCAAGCCCCTTTGTTGCTGAGAGTGTGTGCTCTACCGGCCTCCTGGCTGCTGAAGGAGGTGTGGTTTCCAGGCCTCTTTTTGTTGGCCTTTGGGTGACTTGGTTTCTTTTTTATGAACTCCTCTGTACGTTTAAAAGCATGTTTGTCTTACCTATTTACTTCAAGGATCTGTTGCAGGAAGATTTTATAGTTAAATTTGTCTCTAAGTTGCCAAAATCGGAGGTCAAAATATCCCCAACCCTTTAAGCTGGAATTTGTTTTTTAGAGACTGGCAATCTTTGAAAAATACAGTCTAATGTAATTATATTATCCTGTTGAAATATGAGGTAGCTGTTTAAGGTAACTAGTTTTGATACACACGGATTGTTTTGTCATTTAGAGAAGTACTCCATATATATGGACACGCTAATCTTAAAAGATAATGCAGTAACTGCATAACACAGGTGGCCGATGGGGAGCTATAATATTACCTGTATTGTCTTGGAGGAATCCAACCAAGGGAAAGTTAGTATAGTTGAAACATTTATCAGGTAGCTACCTTCCAGCTGTCTCTAAGGAGAGGGAAGAAGAGAAAATCCCCTGTGCTCAGAACCTTTGCTAGGTTAGCTAATCTGATTAAGAAACATGGGCCAGTGGCTTTTAGCTGCTTGCCACACAGCTCACTTTACTTTCTTGGGAAAGAGTAAGGGGAGCCAGAGGCCAGGCTATTTGATTGAAATCCTTCCTTGTGGAAGGAAGAACGGGGGTATGGAAGAACACGTTCTTCCCCAACAAGTTATAGAGCTGATATTTTGTCTTCTGGAATGAAGCAGCAGAGAATATAAGCAGCATACACTTTGGCTGTGACCTGTACTCTGGTATATTCACAGTGGCTTTGATTTGCAACACATATTTAGAGGTATATTATAATAACTTAAGATTTATGAGCATGCATGTGGCAAAAGCAAGCCAATTAGAATACAGGTTTTGTGAAAGGCTATTAAAATGTAATTGGAAGCTCACTCCTATTTAAACCTTGGATCTACTTAAAACTCCTAATATTAAAAACAATTTTTTAAGGATAACTGGCCTTTTTATGACTTTTATCAACATTTAATTTAAAAAAATTCTTATAGATTATCAAGAGAAATATCAAGAGTTACTTGAAAGAGAAGATTTTTTTCCAGATTATGAAGAAAATGGGACAGATTTATCAGGGGCTGGTGATCCGTAAGTTGTCTTTTGCTACTTTCTTTGTGATGTTTCTGTGGCTACAGTTTGTAGATTTTTAGGTTAGAAGAAGGTAGATGAAGAATGCACGTTGTGATTTGATAGTGTCACAGTGGTATGTACGTAGTACTTGTCTACCAAAAACTTTCCAGAAATCCTACTAGAAAAATAAACTACAATTTTGAAAATGTATATATATCGAGGAGGGCTAAAAACTAAAATAGTAGTATACTCAAGCATAGTTTTCTAAAGTAGATTTAGTTCAGCTCTCTTATTGTAAGATCTCGCGCAGGTTCTATGCCTGTTTCTTCATCTGTATAGTAGGGATAGCAGACCCTTCTTTGAGTTCTTCTGAGAACTAAGTGAGAAACATATACTCAGAACCACCCCTTGGCACACAGTAAAAAGTTTGGATCTTAGCTGTTAAAGGTAAGATCATTGCACTAAAGGGAGGGTGTGAGATAGTCACATATCTCCATCTCTCCCCCTGCCATTCTTTGTAATAAAAGAAACTTCTGTTATGTCCTTACCATCAGATTGCATTGCCATTTAGTTAGAGAAGAACGACAAACTTGAGAGGTTTAATTCCAGCTCTCTTAATAGTTTATGTGAATTTGAACAAGTTACTCAGGTTCTCTTCTTCCTAAGTGGAAGAAAGAATGAACTAAATCTGACTTAATTTTTCTTATTTCTCTTCTCTCATTTGTGATGTAGGTTTAAAAAACAAACCACTTTTATTTTCTCTGCTATCTAGTGACATCTCAATTTTAAGTCCATTTGAGATCTTCTAACATTACCATTCTTTTACATACTAGTTCCATAAAAAAATAACAGGGATATAAGGACTCCAGCACAATTAGGAAGGTTTACCCCTGCTGGGTTCAAGTTGTTCTTGGCACTGAATTTCAGGTTGTCCTGTGAAGTTTTACTTGGTCAGCATTACATGCTCTGACACTAATACACTGGTGGCAGTTTCAGCACATGGCCTTCTACTGGAAATGGAGGAACAAAACCAAAAAGATCCATCAGCAGTTGATATGACTGGCAAGATAGGTTTGTCACACCTGTACTGCAGAGGACTTTTGTGAGGAAGGGGGGAGACACCTAGACAGTCTCTTGTAGAAGAAGACTGGGAGTCAGATTCTGGCTGGGCCACACACTTACCCAAACTTTACAGTATTTACTTAACCCCCCGGAGTCTTTTTTTCTTTTATCTCTAAAATGGAGATGATCAGGGTGCCTGGCTGCTTAGTCAATAAAGCATGTGACTCTTAATCTCAGGTTGTGAGTTCCGTCCCTATGTTGGGCATGGAGATTACTTTTAAAAAAAATGGAGATGATAGTAGTACCTGTCTTTTTAAGATGGCTGTAGGTTTTCAATAAGAACGTCTATTATTAAATCCTTAATAGGCATTTTAAATTTTGCACCCATTCTTAACAGTGGAAAAGCTTTGTTTTCCATCCTTTTATACTACCTAATAGTCGAAAAAATTCTGCGATTATCTCAAAAGTAGCTTGGTAAAGTGATTCCAAATATATGGGAATGTGACTAAAGTGTCATTTCAGGAATACCATTTCTGATAAGTAGACATAAAATATTATATCACTAGAGGTAAATGGCATATCTGAAATTATGTTCCAATTATATAATTGTTAATAAGATAAATTTATGAAAATAATAATCTTGAGTGCCCAAATTTATAGTTCAAGCATTTGAATTAACTTTTAGGTTAGGTTAAGAATTTAACATGTGTCACCGTGCCTGGCTGGCTCAGTCAGTAGAGCATGAGACTCTTAATTTCAGGGTTGTGAGTTCAAACACCACTTGGGGTGTAGAAATTACTTAGGTTAAATTTTAAGTTTTTAAGTTTCAATTTATGTCTAAAATTATAGCAGAAGCTTAACTTCAAACACAAGAGACTCAGAATCCAGTGTAAAATTTAACTCCTCAGATTAAGCATTTAGTTGTCTAAGGACTGACATGTATGTAATTCAGAAAAGTCAGTGCATTCTCTAACAGTCTAAGAAAGTTACAGTACCATTTTTTTGTGTGTGTGTGGCTTAGCATTTTAGAGATTTCTGAATTGAATAACATTAAACTTATGAATCATCTGTACTTCTTTCATAGATACTTGGATGATATTGATGATGAGATGGACCCAGAGATAGAAGAAGCTTATGAAAAGTTTTGTTTGGAATCAGAGCGTAAGCGAAAACAGTAAAGCTAAATTTCATCGTGTCAGTTTTATAAAGCAGTTTAGGTTATGGTGATTTAGCAGAACACAGGAAAGCAGGAAAATGTGTCACACTTATACCAAATTAAGGATGTTGAGTTATGTTACTAATGTATGCAACTTTAATTTTGTTTAACACTATCTGCCAAAATAAACTTTATTCCCTATAACTTAAAATGTGTATATATATATAATAGTTTATTATGTACAGTTAATTCCACTGTTTTGGCTGCAATAAAATCGATTTTGAAATAAATGAAATGTTGAAAGTAAATTTTGCTAGTTGGTTAGAAGCTTATCCTTTAAATTCTACTTTTCTTGAGGGAAAAAGTCTTAGCCTGGAAATACATATGCAAAATGTAGCATCCTTTTTTAGATGAGTATATAGCTTTCATTTAGTTTTACATTGTCTCAATGACTTGGGTTTCAGATATGAATCACAATCATGAAAATCTTTAGTGCTAAAGTCTTAGAATATATCATTAACTGATTTACATATCAGATGCTGTTTGATACTAAGGGCTTTTAAAATGTCATTTAAAAAACAACTTAAAATTCCCAACTAAACAACCAGGATTCTTCACTGAGCATTTACTTGCGATTCTAGAAATTTTTTTGTTTGTTTGTTTTTTGTTTTCTTACTTCATTACCCAAAAGCCTACGGCATCATTCTGCTTCATTTATATGGCTTTCATTTTTATTTTGTAGCATGAGTTGCGTTGACTTTTTTACTAGAGAATTTTACTAGATCTTTGTCATTCAGGTTTTCATCTGCTTTATAATTGATACACCTTGAGGATCACTTTTCTAATACTTTTACAATAATGTAGTACCACCTCAGCTCTATTTAAAAATATTTTTACCTAATGTCAAGTCTTTTCCAACTAAAACTTCTGTACAAAAGGATTGCTTGTAAATAATGCATGTAAATAGTTCTGTTAATAACCCACTGTTTTACATTTGGTACATCTGTGTCTGCTAATACAGTTAGGTTTCTCACTTTTCTGCTTGTTCAGTCTGGATTAAAATTAGACTTTAAATAAAATTCAAATAGTTCTGTTTCCTCTAAGTTTTTGGAGTGATATCCTGATATTAAAGAATTCCTGTTGAACTTTGATGTGATGTCATAAAAGGGTTTGAAATCAAACTATACTAGGATAGGAGATCTTTCATTCAATGTGTGTGGTATTTAGTTCAGTAACCAGGCTACTTGGGAAAATTAACAAATGTAAAACTAACTTTTAGATTTCCTTATTGTAAAAGGGAAGTATGTATATAGTTGGGATTTTTGGAACTTGTTAATAGGATTCTGTTTTTCAGAATGGCTCCTGTAGCACAGTGGGTAATTACCCTCCTCTGTAGTTCTCCAAAGACTGTGCTCAGTGTGATTTAGCAGAACACAGGAAAGCATCTTGGGGATGGGGGAAGGGGTGTAGGGAAGGGACAGTACATTAGCCCGGGGACCAAGTACATGATAGCTGAATATGCTTTAAACTTCTAGCAGTTGCTCTGTGAAGAACCATCCAGCCTTGTCCACTAGCTCATTGTCCCCCACCACTGCTATACTCAACAGCTACCAACAGGATGTGGTTCAGTTCCAGTGTGTTCCAGGTACTAGTGCTGCCTAAATAACCACCCAAACTTGGTGTCTTCAAACAGTAAGCATTTTATTAGGCTCATGGGTTCTGTGGTTTAGCGATTTGGATGGTGCACAATAGGGATTGTTTTTTGTTTCGTTTCATTTCTATTCTGCAATGTTTGAGGCCTCAGTCAGGAAGATTAAGGGCTGCAGGTATCTCCACCAGCCAGGGGCTGTAATCCTCTTGAGCCTTCCTCACTCACCTGGCTGGTGACTGGGCCGAGATGACTTGAAACTTTCCCGTGGCCAGACCCACGGGTGTCCTGGACTTTTCATAAACATAGTAGCTAGGTTTTGAGAGGGCATTGTAAAAGACCCAGGAAGAAGCTGTACTTGGAACGTGCACACAGTATTACTTCCATTACAGTCTTGGTTCTAAGTGAGTCACTAAAGCCATCAAGAAATGTGTGGACAGGTTTTAACACTGCAAGAGTATATCATGAAGAGAAAGCCCTATGCTACAATTCTTGGCCTTTAGAATTGCTGTATCTTCAACAGAAATAGGAGTCCTAAGATCTTGTAAGTCTCCAATGAGCAAGGACACGAAAGTGCTAATGAATGTCCTAGTACAAAATACTGGTAACAAAGTACAAGTATTGGTTTGTGCAAAATCTGGCTCTTGGGTCATCAACTCAGACCTTCTGTCTTTATGTTTTCAGTGCTCTTCCAGCCAAAGACTACCAGGATCACACATGTACTTGAACAGGTTGGATTTAGTACTTTTGCAGTAAAGCAGAATTCACACTACGGGGAACTATGGGGTGTGTCAGAGGGTGTTTAGAACCCATTATGGGGTTTGGACTTTGGTTGGATAATTTGGACAGGGTCTAAGAAACAGGCGTTTCACCCTAGATTGGATATTGCCAGGGCCAATTTTCAATGTTGAGGTATTTCATTATAGAACAGGTGTATATGGAGGAGGTTCTCATTTAAGAGGAAAAAAATTGTCACACTTAGCAAGAGAAGATGATACTTGGTATGCAAGAGTAAAAACTCGTTCAGGACTGGAAGACTGAAAATCAGCTCTCACTGAAAAAGTACCCTTGCTGTTTATCGGTCTGGGAGGACAGACCCAGATAAAGCCAGCTGCAAAGTTAACAGGACACATTTTTCCCCGAAGTCATGCAATTTTAACTGCTCTCATGACCCTTTGTTTGTGTGGCCCCGGCTTTGTTACCAGTGCTGTCTTCACACCTACTTTGCTCTCCCACCCATCTATTCTGGGGCCACCCGATTGCTACATAGCCCTCCCCTCGTGACAGCACCACATCCCAAGTTAATCCCTGCTTCTAATCCTGCTTCAGAACCAGTACCTGTTTCCTCAGAACTTGCTCAGAATCCTTCAACAGGAAACAAATTCTACCAGAGTTGGTGCCCTCTTCCCCCTTGTATAGTCTGCCATTCGTTTCTTCTCTGGAGTTTGCTTCTTTCTTACAAGTCAATATTTTGAGAGACTGCCGGCTTGAGCCTGGTGATCTTTGGCTGACTAGACTTGAATATATGTAAATAATTTCAGGTCACGTGTACTGCTAGTGTTACGTCAGCCTGGCAGAACACCAACCCTGCATGGACCTGCTTCATCCAGGCAGCTGGAGGCCATGTTTTCTGGTAGGTTTGCACCAGGGTAATTCATAATCGCCACCTAGGCTGTGAGCACTGCCAGTGATCTGTGTTTATTACCTTGTTTATCTCCAACTCTCCACTCTTACTTGCTCCTCATCCCTTAAGGACTTGCCTCACAGAAGAAATTGGGCAAATGTAAACAAATGTATCTGCATTCATCTCGTTCTTCCTCTTGTACAGATAGTATCCCTCCTGCTAAAAGGCTAAGTATTCCACATGTGCTCGAATCCCATGCACTCTCTCTCTCTCTCATGAACTTTTCTGTTACTCTGTATTTTTTTGTTTTTAAATCTCCTTCTCTACTGGCGTTTTGCATGAGCTGTTGAACATGTCCTCCTTGGAAGAAATCTGGTCCTTACATTTCTCTCCAACTACAGTTCTGTGCTTTCTAGTCAGATTTTTCAGATGTCCCATTTTTTTTTCCACTTCCTATTTGCTCTTCAAACATACGGCTCCTGCTGCCACTACGTACAACAGCCCTTAGTAATCACATTTATGCCACTAAATCGAATAGGCCCTTGATTCTTTAGCTTGTTCTCTAGGCAATATCTGACACTTCAGTGACACCAAAATTGAAAACCTCTAGGCAGCTGGAATAGAATAGCCGCCTTTCTGGCTTTATGCGTTTCCCCAGGGTTTATGGGATTCTCTCCCCTTAGCTAATCAGTAAGTATTGGTGTTCTTCAAAGCCCACTCTTAAACATTTTCTCTCATGTCACTATATGTCTGGGCTGCCTAATCCTGTCCTTAAGCCTCAGCAGCTATCAACACTGACTCCCAAATTCATTTGTTTTTACACTCTTACTAACTTGTCATTTCCACTAGGAAGACAAAATTGAAGTCATGCTATTCCCTAAACTTTCTCTTCTTGCATCCCTCTTACTGATGGCACTGCTACCTATCCACTTGCCCCAACTAGAACTGGAACTGTTTTTAATGCCTGTTCAATCATCCCCAAGACTATAGAATTGATCTAAGTATTTCTTGAAGCTGTGCTCTGCATCCTCACGGTCTAATCTTGAGTCTGAAACACCATCTCTCCTGTTGCTTTTTCAGACTATTGGGCTTCCTACATCTGTTCCTACATCTTACAATCCATTCTCAGCTGTTTCAGAGATCTTTCTAAAGTACAAATAGCAAAACAAAAAAAAAAAACCCAAAAACACAATAACCCTTGTAGTTAGACAGTTTACAAATAGGAGGTTCTTGGGGTGCCAGGGTGGCTCAGTCGGTTAAGCGTCTGACTTCAGCTCAGGTTATGATCTCGTGGTTTATGGGTTTAAGCCTCACGTCAGGCTCTGTGCTGACAGAGCCTCAGAGCCTGGAGCCTACTTCAGATTCTGTGTCTCCTCTCTGCCCCTCCCCCTCTTGCGTTCTGTCTCAAAAATAAATGTAAAAAAAAACAGGAGTCATTAGAGAGGAAAAAGGTGGGAGCAGGATAGGACCTAAGCACTGTGTGATACAGATTGATGTTACCGATCAATGAAAAATGGCATTCTGAGGGTACCCTTATTTCACTTTACATAAGCTTGAGGTCAATTTGCTTACCAGACATTTAAAAATGGAGATGAATTGGGGCGCCTGGGTGGCTTAGTCGGTTAAGCGTCCGACTTTCGCTTAGGTCATGATCTCGCGGTTCGTGGGTTCGAGCCCCGCGTCGGGCTCTGTGCTGACTGCCAGCTCAGAGCCTGGAGCCTGTTTCAGTCTGTGACTCCCTCTCTCTCTGACCGTCCCCTGCTCACGCTGTCTCTCTCTCTCCTAGAAATAAATAAAACATTAAAAAAAAAAATGGAGATGAATTTAAGGAGTTAGATTTCTCCCCGTTCCTTGCTGTAGCCACTTTTGCTTAAAACCCTTGTAATAGTCTGCCATTGGTTTTTTTTTTTTTTTTTTTTTTTAATGTCTATTTCTGGGGCGCCTGGGTGGCTCAGTCAGTTAAGGGTCCGACTTCGACTCAGGTCATGATCTCAGGGTTCGTGGGTTCAAGCCCCACGTCAGGCTCTGTGCTGACAGCTCAGAGCCTGGAGCCTGTTTCAGATTCTGTCTCCCTCTCTCTCTCTGACCCTCCCCTGCTCACACTGTCTCTCTGTCTCTTTCAGAAATAAATAAAAACATTAAAAATTAAAAAAAAAATTAACGTCTATTTCTGAGAGGAAGAGAATCCCAACCAGGCTCCACACTGCCAGCACAGAGCCGGACTTGGGGCTCAAACCTAAAGAACCATGAGATCATGACCTGAACCAAAATCAAGAGTTGGACACTTAACCGACTAAGGCATTCAGGCACCCCTACCATTGCTTTTAAGATAAAAGTCCCTAATTCACGAAACCATAATGATCAAGCCCTTGCGTATCTCTATACCCCATTCAGGCTTTCTCTCCCCTAAAGGCCTCTTTCCTCTGTAACCATTCTTAAACCAAACTGGTCTTTTTAAGGGTCAAGATCTTTCCTTTGGGTTCTCAGGGCCTTAACACAGGGTGTTACCTCTGCTTGAAACACTTTGACCCCCACTGTACCTGGCTAACACCTTACCTACCCTTTGTATTTCATTGGACATGTTTCCTCAACCTCAGGTCTGCCCACTACATGCCCTCACAGACCTCTGTATTTTATTTTAGGAACACTTACCACAACTGTGATCGAATTACTGTCTACTCCTTTCTTTCCAGTTAATCACCAGTCCTCATCCTCTACCCTGGGTCTCATTCCCTGCTTTATTCCTAAGGTACCCAGCACATAATAGTTTCTCCATAAATACTTAATGACAATAAATTTATCAGACACTTCTGCTTGCTACTTTAGAAAAAAAGTGCAGATACATAGTTGAAAGATATTTTCTGACACCAAATTATAAAAAGAAGAGGTCTCTCTATCTTTGGCCAAGATTTTGTTTTGTTTTTTATGTTACAGCTTTATTAATGTATAATTTTTGTTTGGATTAGTTAAATAAGCGTTAGTCCACCAAAATCCACCCACGTGGTTAGCTTTTGGCTGAAGTGCCAGATGCTGGTCCTCACCGGAAGAGTCACAACCAGGTCGTACCGGTTCCAACTCGAGTATCTTAAAGATCAAAGAGGAAGCAACCACATTCAGGACTGAGAACGCCCACCTGCCTTACTTCCGGTCCCGTCCTTTGCTCGGAGCTCGACAGATTGGCTCCCAGAGCGGGGGGCGTGGTCTGGGCGGGACTTCCGGTCTTTTCGGAAAGACAGACGCTGCCCCAGGTTGCGGGAAGATTTGAACTGCTGTTGATTTCCTGTGTTTACTTGGCGGGGAGGTAGTTGGCGTTTCAGCGTCTTACTTGGCGGGGAGGTAGTTGGCGTTTCAGCGTCTTACCTGCTAGTGACTCGACAAACGTCTCGGCCAAAAATATTCTCCCTGTGGCCTTATTCCTCTGCGCTGGTCTCTTTTCTCTCGTGAAGACACATCACTTGTTGGTAATTCGTCAAATTCATGAAAATATCCCTCGAGAAGCACTCGTGTGTGGACTTTAAGCATTTCGGCAAATAAAGCCCAGGGGCCGTTGATGGACCTTATTTCCACGACTTTTCATCTCAGAACTGCCGTGTGAGTCCAAGACGTTGGTGGAGGTTTTGGTGAGGCTTTTTCTGTAACTACATATTACCATTTTGAGAAATGAGGTCCAGGTGATGTCAAGTGCAGACTTGTCAAGTAGGGAGATTGTTAAACATTCTGTGACGTAATGACTGGGAGGTGAAAACAAACCGGAAGAAGACAGTAGAAATGAAGCTGAAATGTGGGTTGGAGCCGGTTTATGTTTTTTTATGATATGCCGGGAATTTTAAATATTCCACTGTTTGTTGTGTATGCTTGTTATTTAAATAAATAACAACTGTATCTCAGTAACCTTTTTTTTTTTTTTAATTAAAAACTTGGCCAAACATAGAGTTCTTTTCCCAGTCGGAAAAAAAAAAAACAACAAAACCTGTTTTATTAGTTTTCCTGAAATAGCAAATAGACATCTGAAATATATAAGTATATATTTCTATTTATGTATTAACTATATTTATTTCTGTATATGTGTTTATATATATGCAATAGAAATACATTTATTGCTATGAATATTTATTGCTTGTTAAATGAACAAATATGTAAACAAGTGTTGTAAAATGGTTGGTATGGTAAAATGGTCTGGATAGTTGTAAGTTTCCTATAACAGCAGTACTGGAAATGAATTGGAGAGGGAAGGAACTGGAAGAAGGTCCCAGATAGTTGCAGAAATGGAGGGGAGATTTGATGAACTGAAGTGGAAAAGGAGCCGGGCTCATAAAAGAAAACTACCAAATCAATAAGACATGGTACAGGGGTGTGGAGAGAAATATTGCTAACATTGAGATGCCATTGACTTAAATTGCAAATTCAGGAAGAATGAGAATTTTGAAATCCACTTATTCTTTCATCATTAAATAAATATTTGTAGCCTTATTATTTGCCAAGTATTGTTTTAAATGGCAGTGATATAACTGTGAATATGACAGATGAGGTCTGGTCTGATTGAGTTTATATCCTGGTGGGAAAAGTCAAAAAGTGATCAAATGAATAGAATCAGTTTTGATAGTGAAAGATGCATGAGTAAAAAAGATGAAATGGATAAAAAGTGATTGGGAGATGATTGGGAACAATAAAGTTAGGCCTTTGAGGAAGTGCTATTTAAGCTTAAAAGACGAAGAGCCAGCCATGTGATAAGCCAGGGCAAGGACAGGCTAGGCAGAAAAAACAGTGCAAATGTTCTGATATAGAAAACAGCCTGTTTTTAAAACATTAAAAAGGTCGGTGTAGCTAAAATGGCCTGAACAAGGAGAGAGTTATGAGATGACTTGTGGAGAGGAAGACGGGGCCAGATTATATGGCTGTTAGAGGCCATGGTTAGGAATTTCGTGTAAGTGCAGAATGGTAGATTGTGAGCCAGGATGTGATCTCATTTTTATTTTAAAAGATCCCTCTGGCTATTGTATGTGGCCTGGACTTGAGGGAGGTAAGAGTGAAAGTGAAATTAGGGGACGTTACAGAAGTTGCTTTGGTGGGAGTGATTATGTTCCATTTTAGTCATATGGATTGAGTTTGATTAATTCAGTCATGTGGATTGAGTGGAACATGAAGAGACATCTAGCAGGCCACTGGAAGCTCGAAGGAAAGGTCTGGTGGATTTGGAAATTCTCTATAGAGCAGAAATAAAATTGTGTGACTCTCAGGAGAGACCATATGGTTTAATGTTTACTTATATTCTAACATATTCTACAGAAGATTATAGGCTAGTCATATGTAGCTGATTACATTGAAAGCAGGTAAGATTTTTTTAAACAGCAAGGGTGAGCATAAAAGCAATATGAGTGTATATAGTAAGAAGAGATGAAATGGGGACTGAGGTCAGGTCTTGAATCCTTGATTTAAAAGAATGGTGAAAAGGAATGATTAAACTAAGAACAGAGGTGTAGGGGTGTCTGGTGGGCACAGTCAGTAGAGCATGTGACTGTTGATCTCAGGATCATGAGTTCAAGCCCCACATTAGGTGTGGAGCCTATTTAAAAATAAAAAAAAAGTTAAAACCAGGTAGATGTAGTGGAGGAAACCATGGCACTCCCCCTCTCCTTTAAAAAAAAAAAGGGCAGAGGAAAAGAGAGTTCGGTACAGGGGCAGGTAGATAACACTATCACATAGTGACCAGTTTAGTGGGATGAAGACTGAAGTTACTGGATGTAGATAGACATCGGTGAGGGTTGTGAAACAATTTCAGTAGAAAGGTGGAAGGAACCTGGATTACAATGGATTGAAGATGGATGGGAGAGAAAATAGACAGTGAATAGATACTAAACTTGAGAAGTTTTTTGGTAGGAAAGAAGGGTAAACTGAGGAAACTTACTTTTTTTCTGCCAGGTGAAAGTTGGTCGCCTGAGTAGTAAGATATAATGCCTTAGAAGGGGATGGGTTGGTGTTTAGAAAGGAAAGTCTGAGAAAGGATGATGTCCTAGAGGGAGGTGAGTAAGTGTCAGAGAGGATAGGGTTTATTACCTAAGATTTCTTGAACTGGTACAGGCGACTTTGCAATACTGGCACTGGCGTATATGTTCCCTTGTGTAATCCTTGCAACAATCCTGTTACCATCCCTCGCTCTATAGATAAGAGAAACAAACAACCTGAGGCATATAACTAGTAAATGGTAGAGTATGAATGGAACCCAACCCTCTAATTCCCCTTCAGTCATCCCTATATGGAAAGCATAGGTGATGACACAGTAATTCTGGAGGTAGGGAGGAAGAAATTGAATTCAGTGAAATAAGAATGAATCTAAGACACTAGACGATTAATTAAACTTGCTCAGTAGGGACATGAAACTACTTCCTTAATGTCAGACTAGGGACAAAAATCCAGGTATTGGGATTTCTTTTTCAGTATTCTTTTTTCTTAGGCCTGATAGTTTTGGCCTGCCTTTTGCATGCATTACAAATGATTTGCTGTATTCTTATGCAAAGGTGGAATTTCCTTTTATTTGGAATTAGTTACTGAACATATAATTTACAGAAATTAAACTTCAGGAGGACTAAAGCTATTGAAATTATAAAGGCAGTTATAACTAGGTGGGCTTTCTTCTCCCTCTAGGTGATCTTCCCACCCTGGAGTAAAGCCCTAGGGGTTAATCAAGGCATTCTGTTAAGGTTGTTAATTTCAAATCATTTAAAAGTAGGTAGTAAACTAATCACTTTTCATCCAACAAAATTAAATGCTATGGAAGTATGTTTTGCTTATGTTCTTAGAAAATGCATTCATTTTTTTATGATAGACCTTTTGTACATTGAGAGAACTATTTATGCTACCATGTTTCCTATTCAGTCTTCACCTTGGCAGGACATTTTATCCATAGTCATAGTAATGGCAGCTGAAGTGCGGATGGTACTTTATGAAGATGATTCTGTGCAAGTGCAATATGTCGATGGTTCCAGACTGCAGCTTTCTCCTTGTGGCTCTGAATTTTTATTTGAAAAGGCGCCTCCCATTTCAGCACATCCTTTAGAACAACCAGAAAGGATTCGTCAAAGGACACACTTTGTTATCAGCACTTACCGAGTACGTAATGGCTTAAAAACAGCGCTTTCTGATGCCAGAATATTGGTGAGGTAGTTAGAATATGGAAACTAATTAGTATTTCAGATTACTGTCACTTTAAATTTGTTTTCAAATTATTTTACATTTTTTGAAGGTTACATTTTATATCTTTCTTTGTAGGAGCAACTACAGCGAGCCATAGATTTTCGAAATTCTTTTGCTACTTGCCCTTTTTTATCAGAAAGCATTATACCTTCTGAAAGAAAAAAGGTAATTTTTTAAAGCTTTTTGTAAGTAATATTTGAGGACCAGTAATTAGAAACATGTAGTTTAATATTTAATCTTTTTCTTCATGACACTTAAGAATACACACATTGCTATAGAATGTGTAGGCCTACATAGTTCACCAGACTGCAATGTTCTGATATGTTATATACATATTTTTTAAAAAATAAAGTTTATTTATTTATTTTGAGAGAGAGCATGAGCAGGAGAGGGGCAGAGAGAGAGAGAGAGAGAGAGAGAGAATCCCAAGCAGGTTCCAGGTGTCAACACAGAGCCTGATGCAGGGCTTGAACTCAGGAACCGTGAGACCATGACCTGAGCCAAAATCAAGAGTCAGATGCCCAACCAACTGAGCCACCCAAGCACCTTTTTTTCTCTCATTCTTTATCTGTTTGGGTGTGTTTAGTTTTCATTTCTCTCTCTGTAAGAGAGATAATCTTAACATTATCAAATATTCTTTGCAAAACCATATATATAGACTGACACCTGGGTCTCCATGTTTTATTCTTTCTAGATAGTAGAACACAAACAAGACTTTTTAAAGACCTTTCTTACACAATACGTAAGCATTGAATGTATGGAAACATTGGACTGTTGACAAAATACTCCCCATCTCTCCTTGTCCCCTCAACTCAGCGTATCTTCATTGACTTCTCAGAAGTGAGATGGCCCAGTCCTGGTACTGATGATGGCATGCTGTGTATGCAGAGCGGCACCGTGAAGATATCATCATTAGACGGGCATGCATACCTTTGTCTGCCGAGATCACAGCTTGAATTTACAGTACATTTTTTGTGTAAAGTAAGCCAGAAGCCAGACTCCTCTATAGTATTGTCAGAAAAGAAGAATCAAGCAAGAAAAGACAAACTAGATGAAAAAGCAGGCAAAATCTGTACATATGGAAGTTTATCAAGACAGACACCGAAGAGTAAAGAAAATGAACTTTACTATCAGATCATGAAATCCAAGGAACTTTTAGAGGAAAAGAGCTGTATAGATGGAGCCGAAGGGAGGGAGGAGCCACCTCTGCCAGGTTCAAAACACACGTGTGTATACACGTGGGTGAAGCAACGCTGGCCTGTGGCCTCCTGTCCAGAGGAATGGAAATATCCCTTATCATTAGCACTTCATTTGCATAATAAAATCAGCAGTATGTCTAGAATTGATGCAGCCATCACCCAGAATAAAACTTTAACTTCTGGTATTTCAGAGGAAAGAGGAAAAGAGGTTTCTGTTCTTCCCAGGGCCCTGTTACTCAGCTGTCCTGTCCCACACCTGCACAGGTAATGGAAGAATGGTTTATTTGTCATAAAACCCTTGTCAGAGCCAGTCTTTACCTAAAGATAATTTTTCTTTCTTAATCCTCTACCATTCATAAGGAAAGTTCACTCAGTGACCTAAAACTTTGCTAATAACCGATAGTAAAGAATTTCCCTGGCCAGTGTGCTGCTTATTGTTTCTTACTCCGTGTCCATGCATTGAGTGTTTATGGAAGGCTGACCACACACTATATGCTTTGTTAAGCACAGAGACTATAGAGATGTCTAAGCCATAGTCCCTGCTTTCTAGGAACTTAGACTCTATTAAGGTCACTGTCACTGACGAGATTATTAAGGTGTGGTAAGTAATGGCACAGGGCTCTGGTGGTGAACACAGAGGAGCATCAGCTGCCACTCAGTGGAGCCCATTACTTTGGTTGCCGGAGCATGGATCTGACCAGTTTATGAGCATGGGTTCTTTTCTTTTGTACCTAGTCTCAGAGGCCACCCCTGTCTTTGGTTAGCTGACTATACATCTATTTATTGAAAATTTTTGAAAAAAAGGGTAAACATGGAGAGGCCTCTGGAGGCCAGATATAAACCTTTTCTCTCACTAAGAGGTGAATAAACAAATGGTTACAGATTTGTAACACAAACTCTAGAAGTAGTATGGTAATAATGGCAACCGCTAACACAAAGCGCTCATGTGCCGGGCACAGCTCTGCTGTAGCCATTCGATTCTTATAGTAGCTCCATGAGGAAAGTACTGTTATAGCCCCATTTTGTAGAGGAAGTTGAGACACAGGAAGATGAAATAACCTGAGCAGGGTGTGTAGCTAGTGCTTGTGGAATTGGGGTTTGAGCCCAAGCAGTCTCTGAATATATATTTGCTGTTTAAAGCAAAACAAGGGAATGATTTTTCAGGCTGGTCATGATTATCTGATTAAAATGGAAAGTTCTAGTATTATAAGTGCACACTGAAATATTTAGGCTTCTAAATTAACAATTATCAGTAACCTGTCACTATATTTATTTTTTTTTAATGTTTTATTTATTTCTAGAGACAGGAGAGGGTCAGAGAGAGAGAGAGAGAGAGATACGGAATCCGAAGCAGGCTCCAGGTTCTGAGCTAGCTTTCAGCACAGAGCCCGACGCGGGGCTCGAACCCACAAGCTGTGAGATCATGACCTGAGCCGAAGTCGGACACCCAACTGACTAAGCCACCCAGGCACCCCATCCTGACACTAACTTTGGATTAAAATCCATTATCTTTTTTTTTTTTTTCTAGGAGAGAGAGAGACAGAGACAGCGCGAGCAGGGGAGGGTCAGAGAGTGATGGAGTTACAGACTCTGAAACAGGCTCCAGGCTCTGAGCTGGCTGTCAGCACAGAGCCTGACGCGGGGCTCGAACCCATGAACCGCGAGATCATGACCTAAGCGAAAGTCAGACGCTTAACCGACTAAGCCACCCAGGCGCCCCTAAAATCCATTATCTTTAAACATGGTTTAATAGGCCTTCCATTTTCTGGTCCTTTCCTACCAATCTATGATCCTCATCACGTTTGCCCTTGCTTTCTCTCCTCTTGCTAAACTGGACTTTTTACAGTCTCTAGAATGCCTATTCAAGCTTGGCTTCACCACTGCACCTACGCTTTCCTCTGCGAGGAGCACTGCTTTCTCTTTCTCGGTTTGCTAACTTGTGCACGTCTTCAGGTCCCAGCGCAAGCCTTTCTTCCTTAACGGTAGTTATCTGGAAGTCCCTGGACAGGATTAGGTTCTTCTGCAAGCCCATAGTGTCCAGTAATTCTCCTTTCTTTGTGTTCAGTGTTTACTATTTAACATCTCTGCTCGATAGGAATCTTCACTGAGGGCAGTGACCATGTCTGCTTTTTTGGGTGTTGTACCTGCAGTGTGCATAGCATAGCTATTGCAGAAAATATTTGTGGCTTGAATCCTTAATTTATGTAATTGTGCTGAGATTAAATAAGATTGTTAAAAATACAGGAAAAAAACATGGAAAAATAAGAATAGTTTCAGTTTCCTTCATATTAATTTTTCTTGGATCTAACAAGTTTAGCAAGAAATAAATCTTATTATAGTTGCCCTATTTTGTTGATTTCTAAAGGTAATTATGTTGAGCAACCAGAATTAATAGCTTGTATTTTGTCCTTCACAGGTGGAATTTTTGTGATTCACTCTCACAAGGACAGTTTGATGAAGAATATCCCTATCCTGAACTGGTGAAAGTGGTTTGGTACAAAGGTATAACTTACCGGTAAGACACCAGTGCTGGGGCTACTTCGCGATGTCTGAGGGGATGGACTAGCCTTGCAGACAGACTCCCATAAAAGGACAGTTTGGGTAGGGCAATCATTCTTCTGTTTGGTCCTATGTTTTATAGGTCTTAAAATGTGGTTTTATTAGTGCACATAGGGTTCATGTGACTAATTCACGTTAACCATATTCACAAGGCTTTTGTGACAACTCCAGAGCCAGTGAGGCTTAGTTTTGCTAGTGAATGAAATACTTAGGTCAGTTATTTAGGATACCCCTTCCAAGCATCGGGGGATCTACTTGTCTGAATTAGTCACATCAAAATGTTGCCTATTGAGCATGGAATTAGAGGAGATTAGAGGCTCCTCTGTGTCTGCACTATTTCACTGAATAATCCCTACCCCACCACAAAGTACACTTCTCTAGTGACTAGACTAGTAATATTGGCTAGATTCAGGGTTTCACTTCTATAAATAACGGTAGAATAGCACTGCAAAATTTTGTTCTTTGGACCCTCCTTTTCTTGCATGAAAGCCCATCCCCTTCTGACAATATATTCTTCATATATTTCTCAACAAAAACTGACTTGGCTGAAGTTTTTATACATTATATATCCAATACCTTGATCGTACTTGACTACTTCAAGTATGATTAGTCACCTTCTTTTAGGGATGGCTCTTTTACACATGACTAATTTCATTCATCAGATAATGATTCTACTAGTTTGATTGTTTTTTGTTTTTTAATGTTTATTTGTCTTTGAGAGAGACAGAAACAGAGTGTGAGCAGGGGAGTGTCAGAGAGAGAGAGGGAGACACAGAATCCGAAGCAGGCTCCAGGCTCTGAGCTGTCAGCACAGAGCCCAGCATGGGGTTTGAACCCACAAACCACGAGATCATGACCTGAGCTGAAGTTGGACACTTAATTGACTGAGCTACCCAGGCACCCTAACTACTAGTTTGTTGTTTTTTTCATTTTTTTTTTTTTTATGTTTTATTCATTTCTGAGAGAGACAGACAGCCTGAGCAGGGGAGGGTCAGAGAGAGAGAGAGGGAGACACAGAATCTGAAGCAGGCTCCAGGCTCTGAGATAGCTGTCAGCACAGAGCCCAGCGCGGGGCTCGAACCCATGA